GCCCCGAGCCCCCCGTCCATGTCCCCCTGTCCCCCGGCACTGCCCGACATGATTTAACAACTCTAATCCCTTATTTAACGATGTCAAAGGTTTTTAGGAAATTGACTGTGTTTCACCAACGATATATTTCTTCTCGATGACAGAGTGGTTAAAATGATTTTTAAACCAAGACAGCAAAATAAAGCAGTAATAAAATCAATAAAAGGTGCTTAAAACATTCCTTCTATTAGGTAATGGCATTTAAAATATCCGTAGCTTGTAATGGCACTTAGGATATGCCCGAAAATCAATGAGCTAAATTACTTATTGAACTAGTTAATTTGAACATTGAGTTTTATATGTATATTGATAAAACAAGTGACAAGAACCCCGGCTGTGTTCGAATTCCACGGTCACATATCTCCCTCTGCCGGGAAAAAAAAATTCGGAAAACTCCGCTAGAGACTTTTTTTTTTTCTTTTCTTTTCTTTTCTTTTCTTTTTTTTCTTTTCTTTTTTTTTTTTTTTTTAAGCAGGAACATTAAAAGCTGTAACAACTGAAAACTCCACGAGAGGTCTCAGACTCTGCAGGTTCTGCAGGGTTTGTAAATTATTGTTGTTTTTGCCAAAATCTCCGAAGTTTTATGATGCTGAATAACAACACAAAACCTTCAATTGCACCCAAAATACCATTTGGTATTTTGAAATACCAAAATATTACCACTATGTACAGAAACATACAAAAACCATGTGGGAACAGTGAAAAAAGCAAGGGGATATAATATCACTTTAAAAACTGTGAGATCACCCTCAGCAACTTTGATAATTTTCATGTTAGTAACTCCTCCGTGTAGACTCTGAAGTAACAGCCTCATGTTCCTTTTTTCACTTTTTATTTTTTGGGGTTTTTTTGCTAGAAATAAAGGCTTAAAGGCAAAGTTCCGTGACAGCTGCTGCCCCTGAGGTGCAAAAATGGGGAGGGGAAAGAGGGGTTTTAAAAGGAGAGGAAAAAGAGGAGTTAAAAAAGGGAGGGGAGAAAGAGCAGAGAGAAGTGAAAAAGAGAGGAAGGGGGTGAAAAAGAGGGGAAAAGGGGAGGGAAAAAAGGAAAGAAAGGGGGGGAAAGAGGAGGGGAAAAGGAAAGAAAGGAGGAAAAGGGGAGG